TTTATATTATTATTTTTGTATTTCACTGCTTTCATCATTTTTGCATAGAAGTACCTTTTTGAGTCACCGTTTGTTTCTGAGGAGCTTTGCAAAGATGGATCCTCTGTATTTAAAGTTTTTCTTTTACCAGCAGTAGCAATACTCGCAGAAGAACTTTGTCGTCTGATAGCACAAACTTTTGTATATGCATTTTCACGAATATGTTTCACATTTGGACTTGGAGGTGGTGAAGGTGGAGGAAAAGGTACTTCAGCTAAATTAAGTTCTCCATTCGGCGGTGATGCTGGCAAAGCAGCCCATAAAACTTCAAGCATTCTTAAAGCATCATCCAAAGCAAATTCACGCTTCATTTCTAATAAAAGCCATCGGTAACAAAACAATAAATCATCCGCTTGATGAGATTTTAGATAAGCATAAAAGTCTGGATCATAATGTTGCAAACCTTAAAAAATGTAGATAATGTATAATAATACAAATGTTATATCATTCATTAAGTTATTCTAATTTGAGAAAATTATGCAAATCAATTAGAAGATTGTTTTCTTTCTTTCCTATTTATAAGTTTTTTTTTTAAATATCAAATTTTATATTTTCTCTAATTACTTTTAATATGAATTATTATTATATTATATTATCATATTAGTTTTTCTAAAAATTATTTATAATATTTATAGTATTTTAATTACTCGTATTTTATATTTTAAATTATGATTTAAATTTATATGATATATTATATCATAACTTTTTTTCATACCTGATATATAATTTACTTTTTATAATATCAAAAATTACAATCTCCTAATTATTTAGGAAATATATTAAGTCTTACATACCTTCAGCTAAATGAGCAAATTTCGTAGTCATTGCAATTCCATCAAGCATGAAATTATCTTTTAATCTTCTCATAAGAGCACACAAGCATATGTACGCTTGTGCTTCGTCTCTCATAGTAACCAATAAAGGTGAAGCCAAATCGCTCATACCTTGACAATAGCTAACACTCGGATGATTTAAGGCATACGTTGTCAAAATATTAAAAAGACTGGCTGTATTTTGATTATCATCAGAACCACCATAAAATTTATGATGTCTATCTGTTCTTAAAACGTCTTTCCGTACCATACTTGTTACATATGCCAAATCTCCAATATTTTGTCCTTTTTGCACCAACGTTTTCCATCTTTCTCGAAGATTTTGATATTCTTGTGATTTTTTTTTCATGTAGTCCATTCTTTCGCGACCGGACATGCCTTCGGGATATACATTTAAAATATGTTTCCAAACTACTTTTCGTAAACTAGGTTCAATTCCACCAAAGTATATCACGGCTCTTAATTCTTTAGGATGTATTACTTGTCCAATAGGATCCAAAAATCTTCGAAACTCCGCATCTGTCAATGGTGGTCGTGGTGGTTGAGCACTTTGTTGGTGAGATGATTCTTCACTTAAATTACCCAAAGCACGTTGAACCATATTTAATGTTCTTTCCATCTGTCGGAAATAACTTAATTTATAACGTATACATTTAAGTATACATCTTTTTAAATATCACGTTTACAAATTTTATAAATAATGAAATATTGTTAAACATATATATCTATAATATCTATACATAGTATCTATATTAATTACAATGAGAAATTATGTAAATATACTCTATTTATGAAATAATATATCAAACATTAATCTTATTACAATTACATAATAAAATAATCATTTTAATATCATGAAATTAAAAATTTTTAGAATATATTTTAAAACACATAATCTGAAAAAATAAAGAAAAAGAAAAATGTATTTTATTTTTTTAATAAATAAGATTGTTTTTTATAAAACATTGAATTATTTTTTAATGAATATTTTAATATTCCATCCATTTTATCCATTTTATGACGAATATATAAACTATATCTATTTCATCATTTATATATAATACAATATATATACAATATAAATATATATAATTATTATATAAATATATATCTTATGTTCCATTAAGAAAAAACTCGAAAGAGAAATAATTGCATTCTGATTTTTAGATGAATAAGAAAAATAACAATATTCACCTTATTCATTATGAGACCCGGTAATTTGGGTGTCTTGTATGGAAACCCGGTTTCTTGCCGAGTCGACACTTCCTGTGCATTCTGTTCCCAGTAACACTCACAATCACCTGTTTCTCCAAATGGTTTTAAGTTGACTTGCAAATATAAATATGGTTCAGAGGCGCTACAATAAAATATATTATTGATTAACATTAGATTAACATTTATTATCGTTTATTATTTAGATAGGAATGATGTTAAAATTTCTATAAATTACCTAATAAATGCTGCATCCAAATCCCAATCAGAAAGCAAAAATAAATATGTTTCTGATCCATAATCATCTATTGCTCGATATGAAACTGTGAATTCTCTGTAAAAATATTTCGAAAAATTATTTTTTTTTTCATTGTAAATTTTTACACATAATTTAATATCGAGATAAAAATATTTTAATAATGAATTGATTATATTTTATTAATTTTTATACATATATATAAAATAATATATAATATATTAATAATATAATATATATTATATATATATAAAATACAAATATAATTTACAAACATAATTATACAAAATATATTTATACAAAAGAACAATGTATCTGTATATTTCAGATATTCTTTTTTTTTTTATACAAATTTTTTTTGTATATTGCATATATACTATGCCATTTTTTAGTTAAAAATTTTCATTTATCAAATAAATATATTTTTTTGCAAGTTAATGTAATGTTTTACTTAGAAATAAATGATTCATAGAAAAGAGATAATTTTACAACTAATATATAGATATCGCAACAACGAAATGAAAAAATTTATTTCTATTTTAACCAACAAAATTGATATTCTTTGTTATTTACTGTAAAATATATTCAATAATATATTCTCGTTATTTTAATATTTTCTAAATACTATTTTTTTTTAAATTAATATAAATAAAATTTAATTTCTTTATGAAAATAATAAATATTGATCAATTCATATCATGCTTTTAAAAATTCTTTAAATTTACGGAGTCTATTAATAACGATTAAAAACAATATAAACAATTTTAAAGGAAATATTTAAATTTAATATTAACTTTTTGATAATATTCGATATCCAGAAATAAAAAATTTCAATACAAATTATATTTTCAATACAAATGTATATTGTATATGTGTATTACAAATTTTACAATTTATAAAATTAAAATTAAATTAAAATAAAATTAAATTATTTTGTGGACCAAATTTGAAAGGAATATTTTTTAATGTTTTCTTTTTATTTTTTTTTTTTATTTTTTAAAATATTTCTTTTATTTCTTATATTTTTTAAAAATATTTTTTCTTAAAATTTTATATTAACGCATCATTTTCTATTATTTATTATTTTTAATTAATATTTTAATTAATTTTTTATTAATGATTAATAATTGTTCAATAATAACAAAAAAAAAATAATTCGCGAAAATTTTTTATTTTCATAATCTAACGCGAACTCGGTTTTTGCGTAGATAAATGTTAATTGCTTTGTGTTCAAAGCAAATGAATATTCGAAGGTTCGTTCTTTTATGTTTGCGATGTAATATATTCGATGTATATCAATGATTATTCGTTGTTAACAGTGTTACTATCTTACCCTTTGATGTCGAATGCTTTGATGAGTATACTTTGAAGCACTTCGATGGATGTTATCTGTGGGTCTACGCTGAATTTTCGATATTCCGGCTGATGCCTTGTTTCGCATTTCTAAAGACAAATGTATGAAACATTCAATCAATTTTTCTTTGTTTCATTTTATTTTTTTAATCGAATTGTTTTCAATAGTATCGAAGAATTACCGCTATTCTACATTGACATAATTCTATTATACTTATCATGAAAAAATGCGATATATAAAATGTAAAAATTAAATTGAATTTTTTTTTACTTTTTTTTAACTTTTAAGAAGTATTAAAATATATTATTTTTTCTCATATTTGAGACATGTTTCATTTTACTTTTTTTAACTATGATTTTCAATATTATATTATTAATTGATGTCATATATATAACTTATAATATATAATTTATATTATAATGTGATTGATAAAAGCAAAACAAGTTATAAATTAGATAACTTGGATAATTTAGAAACATATATGATTAATTAATGAAGATCGATGATTTGATAGTTAACTCAATAATTCTCGAAATAACGTATGATTCAAGCAATATATATAATATTATATAAATAAATAAATAAATAATATATAAATAAATAATATTATAGTATATAAAAAATTATGGATGTGATTCCATTATAATTATGAAAAATAAATAAGATAAAACAGATAATTTATATAGATGCATAATATTGATAAAAATTTTGCTAATCTTTTAGATAAATTAAAATTAATGATTTAAATAAATTAGTTATTACGAATTTATTTTATTTTTACTCTAACTAAAAATTTAGATTTAAACATTTCATCTTTATGACAAATCCAATAATTAAATAATTCAATAAAATCTTGAATGGAAAAAACATCGATTCAAGCTAATAAGATAAATCTTTTTTTATAAGCGTCTTTTCAGATAATCCTTTTATAAGTATCGAAGTTACAAATATATTATAAAATGAATATAAAACAATTTTAAAAGATGAAATTTTATTCTGTGGAATAATGCAAGAAGAATTATTTATAAATTTAAATTTTTATTTAATTTCAAATTTAAGTTTTTTTTAGAATTCTATTTTCACTAGATATTAATAAATCAAAGATATATATATAATTTTCATATCTTTCCTAAAATGTAAACGCTTAAAATAAAGAATAACTACGACAAAATTCTCTCAAGTTCTTTTTTTCCTATGAAATAAGATGATATCAAATTGCAATATCAATTAACTTTCAATTAACAAAAATCAACTTTTTAAATTCAAAAGTACTAGTTGTAATAATAGTAAATAATAGTTGTAATAAGTTATAATATATGAATTAAATATTTTTATAATCTAGTGATTTATAATGAAGTCGAAATTCCCGAAGTTCTAAAGTTAACCTAGAAGTCTCGAACACAAGTACCATTACGAAAGCGTTGGAAATTGATGTAGCATCGTATTATATCTTCTTTACGTAAGTTAATGATTGTAACATATGTTCTATGCAATTACATAAAACCATGTTATTCATACTTTCTTTAGTGATCAATTAAACAAAACTGATCTGCTAGAGAAGACAATCGACAGGTCGTCGTGTAAATGTAATTATATACTTGAAAAAACGGCTTAAACAATTGGTAATCTTTTGCCTCTTAATAGATTCTTATATTACGAACTAATCTCTCTGCAAGTAGGAGCTATGGATCGATACAACCAAATTTTACTTGCGAGCCATTTGCCAACGAAGTGAATGTCTACTGATCGCTTCAAAAAAAAATCTTATAAATATATCTTATAATTGAATGTTTTCATTTGAAGTCTATAAAAAGAAATTTATATAAATTTAGTAATTCCTAAACGATTTATTATTTTAATTATTATTACTATGTAAAATTAAATAATATTTAGTGAATTTTTACAGATTTATTTATTTTTTTATAATATAATGCCAAGAAAAAAGATAATATTAATATTTACGAATCTATTTATGAATTTTTTATGTATTTTTCTATATTGCCTTTGATGTTTTTCATTCAAAAATCTTTCAATAAGATTATCCGTTTTTTTATTGAAAAGAAGAAGCATTTACCAAATCTTCTTCTTTTTATTATTTCAAATAATTTTATATTTCTTTAAATATTAAAATTAATATCATATTAAAACTTTTCTTTTTTATCTTGTAAAAATTTCGTGAAATTTTTTTATAAAATCAATGTAAAGAAATGAAAAAAAATATAATAAATTAATTTTGATTATGTAAGTAATAAAATAAGATTGATTTGATTTCAATCAAACAAATAAACAAAATATATAGTACTTGATTTAACTAAATACACGGCTTTGCTTACGTTGCTACTGGATTAACTTGTTATGAAATTGCAAGCTGTTAAATCGATATAAGGAATTGATAATATAATTTATCGTCAAATAATAATTTTATCATTATACGTAAGTCATTTAGATTGTCGATTAAATTTTCATAATTAATAGTTAGTAATTATTTTTTATTCTTTATTAACTTACTAACTTAGCCTTTCACTGTTAAACACAAACTTAAAAATTCTTTTTTTTCATGTTTCTCGAGATTTTCTGTATTAATTCATATGACGTATAAATATTATATTTAGAGCAAATGACGAACATTAAATCGATGTATAATCTATATAATCTTATGAAATATATTTGTTTTAACAGTGGCAATGAATCGAATTAATGTTATAATTATATTTAATTGTTTAATAACAAATTTTCGTTTGTTTAAAAAAATTGTTAAAGAAAATATTATAAAAGAAGAATCAAATTAATGATATTTATAAAATTTATTATTTTATTTTTTTCTTATTAGTTATATTAGATATAATTATTTATTATATTATTCGAATAATTAGAAATTTTCTATATGTAAAACTAGAATTAGTTGGCAGTTAAACTATTTTACTTATATAAATCCATTTCTAATTATATTTATTTTTGACTTTGATCTAAGAGATTGATTTAATTATATTATTTTAAATTTCGTGGATTTGTTAACTTTTAATATTTAGTAAAAGAATATTAACAAGTAAAGACACGATTTACAGATTAATGACAGATATTATAATGAAATTATTGATATCTTCGAATTAAATATAAGTTTAAAACGATAGATTAATTGGATATAAGTTTATTAATAAATTTTATTTTATCGTAATTTTTTTAAAATTAATTATTGCATGCAGAAATTCGAATTTTCAGACAATGGATGTTAGATACAATTTATATGATATTAAACATATCTCGAAGATAGCAGTCTGGCATCATTTTAACATCTGAATTCTGATGAATGTCAAATATGGACGCTTGAAATGTCTGTATGAAAAACGCGTTACGGGTGTTTTTAATTGGACATTTCTACCGCAATGCCGCAGGAATATTTTGCCTAATATTGAAACAACATGTTCTAATTATTTTTACAGAACGTTGGTTATTCCAATTAAGGAGCACCATGTTCACTTTCTTAAAGCGAAACTGCACGAAAGATAAATATCGCAAAAACTTTCTATGGCTTACAATCACTTCTAATCGTAAAAATGAATTTGCTTTATTATAGAGGATTTATATTTCGATCATAAACAATATCAAATTTATCACAGAGTGTGCTTTCAATATCATATAAAAATTTTAATTCATATCATTTTTTACATTACATTCGTTTCATTACAAATATATATATTTTTAAATAAAAATGTATCATTTAAACATTATGTAAAAAATTATAAACATAAAAAATTTCATTTAAATAATGACTAATAAATTTAAATTTATATTATTTTCAATATATATTATTTTTTATAAAATTTTCCACTATCATAGAAAAATTATTATTAGCAAAGTATTAATAATGATAAACTGTAATACTTTGTTTTACCGATAAGAATATCTTTATTTTTTTATACTTTTTTGTATGTAAAAATAGAAAATTATTCAAGAAGAAATTTCATTAGAATTTCATGAAAATAAATATTCATTTTATCGACAATATTAAATGTTAAATATGATCTGTAAAATAAAACTAAAAAGTAAACTATACCTTCACTTTGACACGTACAGCTTCTCTAGGGCAACCAAACATTTTTGACGTTGATATGCAAGCTATTTTATGCATACGAAAAAGATTTAAGGCTCAATAATTCAAGATAATTCCAGATCCATCAAAATATATATCTCCTTGAAGAAGTTTTCGTAACACTGAACAAGATTCAACATTTCTATAGATAACAAATTTTTGTTAGGTTAATTCGTTTTACGCGACGCACAACGACTTAACTCGAAGCTTTCACTTCTTTTAGAGAGAAGCATATTAGTTTTGTCAAGATTTCTGCACTGTGTTTTTTAAAAAAATCGAAGTTTTCGAATACGCACTAATTAACACTTAACGAGAGAGTTTATAATTGTCGTAATGACAAGACAATATATTTTAACTGTGTCGATATAATATGTTTATAATACGTTTCAAGATGTTAATTTCAAGATTGTTTCGCGCCTTTCTTGAGCTTTGATAGGCAAAGATCTGTCGTTACCGCGACATCATTGACATAGCACACCGTGTTCATATAATTCACACACGTTTGATCAGTCGAAACTGTAGGTTTCTTTTTTCGTAAAAACCACTGACACTGGAAGAGATAAAGGGGGAGTTATTTTAAAACGTGACAAGCGGAACAAAGACAGATAGAAATGCCTAAGAAAATTAGTTACATTCGTGTGACGAAAAAGAGAAAGAGCAAGAATAAGAGAAACGAGAAAGCTGAAGTAAGTCACATTTGATACCAAGTTTAACTTACTTGGATATCGATTAATCTCGAACATAATAGAATATACACATAATCGATTCTTCGTCGTTCGATGTATCGCTATCGATTGTTTCTTGATGTATATGAATATATTTATATTTATATGTTAATTTGGCACTTATCACAAGAGACGAAATCATTAAACTTTTTGTTAGACACTTTTTTATTTTTCTATTTAGGAATAAAAATTGATAATGTTTTATATTTTATTTGAAAGAATTTATCGATGATTCGTATCGTGTTGCCATCTAACAATGATATACTAAATTATATTTTATATATTTTAATTTTACAAGAATTTTTATTCTTATAAATAAAATCTTATTCCTTCTGTAGTAACGTTTATCTAATTTAGAATAATTTTCTAATTTTGAATCTAAAAAATTCTCTAAGAAAAGAAATTCATAAATTAAAAAATATTAAACGATTCAAATATAATATTAATTGCATATTGCTTAAATTTGTGTATTATTATATTAATATAAATATAAAAATATAAATCGGTATTTTTTTTGAGCGCATAAATTTTGCGGAGCAAGTATAAACAAATATAATAATAATAATAAAAGAAGAATAGAGATAAAATAAAAATATAGAAATCAACGCCATCTCTAGAGTGCCGCAAATGAAACATCATATGCAAGACAGTAAATAATAAAAGACAAATAAAATAAGAATTGATTTCTATCACCATCTCTCAGACGTTGAAGATATTTTTATCAAAAGTAAGGTAAGGTAGGGCAAGAATTAAAGATCAGCATCATCTCTCGACATTCTATCGTATCTTATTCTTTAAAAGATATCTTTAATAATCGAGAGATGGCGTTGATAATCAATTCTTACTATATCTCTATCCTTATCCAACTATTTTCTATCCTTTCTTTATGAGTTTCATTTACGACACTCTGGAGATGGCGCTGATTTCAATATTTTTACTTTATCTCTATCCTTTTTCCACTATCTATTCTCCTTATCTATACTTTGCTTTCGGCGCGTGATTATAAATAAAATACGAAACATCAACTGAACACATTTTCATCATTTTTCTTTTAAAACTATATTATTTAATTTTTAAGATACAAAATATTTTTCTTTTTTATGAATAGAAATATAAATTTTTATATACGTATCACGTATATAAAAATAAAAGAAGAAAAAAATAATAACGATAACAATAACGTTGATACATTATTTTAAGCAAACGAAACACGAAATATATTTATGATAGATATTCTCTTTTTTTCTTGAAACTTCTTCCTGCAATTCGTAAGAAAAACAGATAAAAATACTTTCGATTGGATGATAAAAAGGAAAATGGATAAATATACAGGAATAAGAAAACGTCAATGACCACGCGGTCAAATAATTCTGGTCGTCGAATCGAAGTTTTCCAAGAATTGCATAGCTCATTGTATACACATCGATCGGTAATTAAATTACCATCTTTATTGCTAATTTACCATCTACTAACCTTATTTTACACCTTGCTCATGCTATTCCAGTGGAAACGAAATAATCTCCTTTTTTTTTTTTTTTTTCTTCAAAAGGATTCTTTG